TGCTATTTACAAGAGAGCTTGCAAAACGATTGGATGGAACCGGGGTTWCCTCTTATGCACTTCATCCTGGTTTTGTTCAAACAGATGTCTTCAGAAACATTCCCTGGCATTTTGCATTTTTCATTAGCATTGCAATACGCTTGTTTTCGAAAAGCACAAAACAAGGTGCCCAGACCACACTCTACTGTGCTGTGGCKGAAGAGCTTGAGGGAGTCAGTGGAAGATATTATGTTGACTGCACAGAAAAACAGTTGGAAGCTCATGCAAAAGATGATAAAGCTGCAAGAAAGTTATGGGAAGTCAGTACAGAATTTGTGGGACTCTGATTGATGGCTGTCAGTCAATCAAGCATTGTTAATTTTTCATAGTCCCAGCATTCATTGTGGTTTAGATGCATTAGAGTTCAAGTATCATGAATATTTTGTGATTAAATAGTTCTTGTGATGTGAATTAAACAGAAATATTCAGAAACCATTCATGTTTTACATGGCTAGTTATAAACATTGTAAGACCCCATTGCAATTTACCCAGATTGCAGTGCACTCTTCTGTGGCTGAAGAGCTTGAGGGAGTTGACAGAAGATATTAATCTGATTGTGCAGGGAAAAAAGTTGGGTTCTCTTGCAAAACATGATGAAACAGCAAGAAAACTATTGGAAGTGAACATGGAATGTGTGGGCTCTGATTGATGGCTGTCAATCATTCCTGTAACCTTGATTGTTTCAAWAGAAACACATACCATCAGCTCTAGCCTCCTTTGTAGGCTACTCCAGGAAATGAATTTTTTCTRTATTTGGTCTTCCTGTGTTGATTAATCCTGACCAAGACAAACTGGTTTGGAGAAACAACGAATAGCAAGAGTACTCCTTCCTCCCTAAGCCCTTCCCCGGTCAATTTTCAGCCTTAACACAGGAACCCTGAAGAATAGAGTTGCCTGAGAAGGAGGCTACATCACCTCAAGTGAACAATCTATTATTTTTTTTCCTAGTATGACAAGATCATTAAAGGTCATGAAATTGAAATAATAGACTAGGCAAGACAAACTATCTAGTGAATTACATTATGAAATAATTGTTAAATACTTTGAATTGATTAGCAATTCAGAGATACATACAATTGTGACAACAACTTGAATTTTAGTGTTTAAATGATGCTAGTGAGTTGTGGTAGAGATGACTGTCTTATATATGGCTGATTTCCGGTTAGAAAGAATATCACATGACAGGAAGGTTGCGGATTGAATTTCCGGTGTCCAAACGCGACATGACACATAGACACAGGTAGCCCAAGCACTACACTCGTCGGCTTTTCTCTGAAGGTCTTGTGTGGAAAAACGAAAAATTCAATAAAAGTAGGAAATCTTCATAAAATGAATTCAATCTCAGACAATATGTTGTTCTTAATTTCTTACACGTCTATGCGAAGTTTCAGCTCTCTGCAGTCAAAAAAAACTGCTTTTTTTCTTGATGTTGGTCCCCTAGATAATAAATATTTTTCATGATAAACAGGAGAGCAATCCTTAATGCCTCTGCCAGCATAGATCGGATCGTTGTACCATCAGGTCTCGTGATAGCATGATTCCATCCATTGAAAACCGMGTTATGTACGCACTTAGAGTTACACTGTTTGACATTCAATACTCCAGTTTCGAGATCTTACTTGTGCAGCCTTAACCTCAAAAGCATGTAATATATTCTTATTCAGCAGAGATCCTATTGTAATGTCTCTGTAAAAAGAAGACAAGAATAACAATATATAATGCTTGATATGCATCCATATCCCGCGTCCCGGCCCGTGCTATGTCGCACGACCCCGTGGTGCACACGGTTTTAGGTGACCCCTTTGACCCCCATCGGTACCAGTCTTTTTACCCGGATAGGAGCTAATATAATATGGCGTTTGTTCAATATTTCGTTTGTGCAGTTGGAGTTGTTCTGATGTTGCTGTACTTTGCACGGAGATACTTCAGTGGTGTGTTCAATAGCTCAAGAAGGCTAGATGGGAAAACAGTTGTAATCACTGGAGCAAATACTGGCATTGGAAAAGAAACCGCTGTTGATTTGGCTGCAAGAGGAGCTCGCGTTATCATCGCTTGCAGAGACAAGTACAAAGGATCACTCGCTTTACAAGACATACAAGAACGATCCAATAGTCAACAAGTCTATCTCGAGCATCTCGACTTGGCTTCGTTTAAATCTATCCGTGATTTTGCAGAGAGAATCAAGAAAAATGAAACCAAACTACACATTCTGATCAATAATGCTGGAGTATACTTGGGAAACGATTTCTACTTTACAGAAGACGGCTTTGAACTGACCTTTGGCGTAAACCATCTAGGGCATTTTCTTCTAACAAGCTTGCTGCTTGATTTACTGCAAAAATCAACGCCGAGTCGTATTGTGAACGTATCGTCAG